GAATGTCAGTAATAAGGAATGAATTGAAAATCGCACTCAGAGACGGAAGGTGATTGCTAAAAATGAAGGAAAAATCCAAGAAAAAAATGCTTTTACGTAATAAGAACATAGGAACTAGGAGGAGGAGTAGGCAATTCAGCCCTTGAGCCTGCTCTGCCATTTGATATGATCACAGTAGATCTCATTTCAGCCTCAACGCCACTTTCCTGCCTACTTTCCATAATCCTGCAACCATTACTAATTAAAAATCTGTGAATCCCCTCTCTAAATTTACCCAATGTTTCAACATCCACCAGACTCCGAAGTACTGAATTCCACAGATTCATGTCCCTCAGAGAAGTAATTTTTTCTCATCTGCGTTTTAGGATAAGGTGTAGCAAATTTAAAACAATGATCTCTTGTTCTGGATTGCACATTCGAGGAAACATCCTCTCTATATCTGCTATGTCAATTCCCATTAACATCTTAATTACCCCAATTAAATCTGCTCTCATTCTTCTAAACTCTGGGCAGCATAACATTAATCTGCTCAATCTCTCTTCATAAAATAAATCCCTCATTTCTGCAATCAATCTGGTGAACCTCCTCTGAATTGCCTCCAATGCAACTACCTCTCTCCTCAAGTAAAGGGACCAAAACTGCTGCAGCAACATTTCCCTACTTTTATACTCTATTCCTTTAGCAATAAATACCAAAATTCCATTTGCCTTCCTCATTCCCTGCTGTACCTGCATACTAGTTTTATGTGATTCATGCACAATGACACCCAGATCCCTCTGCACCAAAGTATTCTAAAGTTTCTCTCCGTTTAGATAGTAAGCTGCCTTTCTATTCTCCTGACCAAAATGGACTTATCCACATTAAACTCCAACTGTCCCAAATTTTAGCCCATTCACCTAATCTACCCATATCCATTTGTAAATTTCTTATTTTTTGCTTGTAACTGACTTACCCACACATTTTAGTGTCATCTTCAAATTTGTCTATAGTACCTTCTATCCCCGCAACCAACTCATTAACATAGATTGTAAATAACTGGGTCTGAGGACCGAACCCTGTATCATCCCACTAGCTACATCTTGCCAACAAGAAAAAGACCCATTTAACCATATTCTCTGCTTTCTGATAGCTAGACAATCCTCTGTCTGAGCTAACCCCATGTGATCTTACTTTATATACAGCACCTTATCAAATGCCTTTAGGAAGTCCAGATACACTACATGTAAAGGATCCCAATGATCCAACTTGCTTGTTACATAGAGTCACAGTCACAGAGTCATACGGCCTGGAAACAGACCCTTCGATCCAACTAGTCCAAGCTGACCCTTTTTCCAAACCAAACTATTCTCACTTGCCTGTGTTTAGCCCATATCCCTCAAAACCTTTCCTATTCATGTACTTATTCAAATGTCTTTTAAATTTGTAACTGTACCCGAATCCACCACTTCCTCTGTTCATTCCACACACAAAACATTCTCTCTGTTGAAAAAGTTGCCCCGTATGTCCTTTTTAAATCTTTCTTCTCTCATCTTAAAAATATGCCCCTTTGTTTTGAACTCCCCCACCCTAGGGAAAAGACCCTTTCTATTCACCTTATCTATGCCTCTCATGATTTTATAAATCCCTATAAGGTCATCCCTCAATGTCCCAAGCTCCAGTGAAAAAAAAATCCCAGCCTATCAACCTAGCTTTAAAACTCAAACCCTCCATTCCTGACAACGTTCTGGCAAATCTTTTCTGAATATCCTTCCTGTAGATGGGCAACCAGAACAGTACACATTACTCCAGAAGAGGCCTCACCAAAACCTGCATAAACTCTTAAAACAAAAAGATCAAATATGATTTACCCTTCATAAAACCATGCTGAATCTGAAGGATTGTAGTTTGACTTTCCAAATGCTCTATTATTACTTCCTTAATAATGCGTTCTAACAATTTCCCAATGACAGATATTAAACTAATGGTCTACAGATTCTGCCTCTTTCCCTTTTTGAATAACGGTGTTATATTAGCATTTTTCCAAACCACTGAAACCTTTCCTGCATCCAGGGAATTTGGAATATTATAACCAATGGATCCACTACCTCTGCTGGCACTTCCTTTAAGACCCTAGGATATAGGCCATTAGGGCCCGGGGTCTTGTCTGCCTTTAATTCCAATAGTTCATTCATTAATTGTCCCTTGTGATGATGACTGTTCTAAGTTCCTCCCTTTCTGTAACCTCTGCATTACCTGTTGCTATTGGGATAGTATTGTATCCTCCACCATGAAAACTGAAGCAAAATATTGATCCGCCATTTGTGTTCCCTGCTATTAACGCTCCATTCTTATCTTCTAAGGGGTCAACATTCACTTTAGCTACTTTCTTTCCTTTTATATAATTAGAGAAGGTCTAGCTATCACTTTTATATTTTACATTAATATTCTTTCATAATTTACCTTTGCACTTTTTAATACTATTTTAGTAACTCTTTGTTGATCTTTCGAAAGTTTCCTAATCTTCCAGTCTGCCACTGGCCTTTGCAATAATGGTATACTTTAGTTTGTCTTTATGTTTTCTTTAACTTCCTTGCTTAGCCATGTGTTTTTTTCTTCCCCCCGCTTACAACCCTCCCTTCCGTCTGGAATATATTTTAGTTGGGAGGAACTGAATATCTCCATAAACATCTGACACTGTTCATGAGCTGTCCTACTTTTTAGTCTTCCTACCCAGTCCACGAAGGCCAAATCTATCCTCATGTCTACATAATCATCTCATACAGAACTTGAAATTCTAGCATGCAATGATCACTCTTCCCCTTACAATGAGATCCTTAATTAATCCCACCTCATTACACAATACCAAATCCAGAATAGATTGCTCTCTGGTTGGTCCCCCAAAATATTGTTCTAAGAAACAATCTGAATACATTCATTAAACTGTCCCTTGAGGTTACCCTTGCCAATTTGATTAATCCAGTCCTTTTGCACATCAAAATCATCCATGATTATTACTAATTCACCTTTCTTACAAACTGCAGTATTCTGTATAAAAATGCAGGACTATTTTTCGGGGACCTATGGATTACTACTCCCAGTGGTATATTTCCCTTGTTATTTCTCCAGACTGATTCCACATGTTGATTTCCAGTGCCTATATCACTTCCCATTGCAGTACTGATCTCTTCCTTTACCAAGAGAGCTACATCACCTCCTTTTCCTTCCTACCTATCCTAAACCTGGTCTCCCTGCAACTATGTCTCAGTAATTGCCACCAAAGCATATCATTTGTCTATTTGCGCTGTTAATTGGTTAATTTTATACCAATTGCTTTGTGAATTTTAAATACAAAACCTTCAAATTATTCTATTCTCAAATTTCCCAACTCTTGTACAATTCCTTGGGGCAATATGATATTCACATATTCTGTCCCTTCCTTTTATTCCCTGGTAACAATCAGCCTCATTATTAACCTGCACCCCTACCTTCTCCTTTAATTTTGATTTTTGAAAAATTTTCCATTCAGCTGAACCCTTCCCCCAATATTTAGTATAAAGTCCTATCTACAGCCTTAGTTAGTAACTCACCAGAACTCTGGCCACAGCAAAGATTCAGATGGAGGCTATCTCATCGGAACAACTCCCTCCTTCTCCAAAACTGGTCGCAATATCCCATGAATACAAATCCATTTCTCCCACATCAATCTTTGAGCCACTCATTTATATCCTTAATATTATTGAACGTGTAGCTCATGGCTGAGGTAGTAATCCGGAGATTACCACCTTTTGTTTCTGATTCTTAATTTAGCATTTATCTACTCATATTGCCTCAGCAGAACCTCTTGCCTCATTCTACCTACATCCTCAGTACCTACATGGACCCATGATAACAGGATCTTTCCCTTCCCATTCCAAGCTTCTCCTGGATTCCAAGCCCAGGTGAGTTATCCTGAATGGTGGTGCCAGAGAGGCAACATAGCTTTTGGGACTCTCGACCTTGGCCACAGAGAGCTATGCCTTAATGTTTTGGCCTCAACCACTTTCTGTGGAAGAGAATTCCAAAGTCTCACCACTCAGTGAAAAAATTTCTCATCTTAGTCCTAAATGGTCTACCCCCATATTCTTAGATTTTGACCCCTGATTTCCTTCCTGCATTTACTCTGTCTAGTCCTGTTAGAGTTTCATGGATTTCTATGAGATTCTCCCTCATTCTTCTCAACTCCAGTGAATATTGTCCTAATCAATCCAGTCTCTTTCTTCATACATCAGTCCTGTCATCCCAGAATTAGTCTGGTTACTCTTCAAGTTTGGAATTCCTGGTGCCGATACTGAACTACCATTAGCATAAAAAGAAAAAAAAGATCAAATCTTGGAGAAAATTTGAAAAAAAATGTTACCATTATGTTGTTTGAACCAACACATTATAAAGTATCAGTTAAACAAAATGGTGAAAACAGTAAGTTTTCTGAGGGCAACGTGGCGTTCCCCCGCCCCCCGGCAGAATACTACAATATTGTGTAACATTCTACTTGCATTAATTCATGTCCACTGTTCTAACCTTTCATTGATCAATTGTTTCTGTAATGTAAATAACAGTTCTGGAATGATATCACTATTCAGGGATTTTTCCCCCAACTTCATATGAGCTTGCTCACAGTGCCACAGTAACCTGACACCTTAGCAACAACAACACCACATGACCCGATGACAGTTCAGTACATTAGAGGAAAAGAAGGCAACCAATATTCTGCATACCGATTTTCTACTTCAAGTAGGTCAGACATCTACTTATATTTTACAAAAAACATTGCTTTCTCCTTTAGGGAAACTAAAAGCTATTATCAATCGTGAACCAATTTCAAAATTGCTAACTGCCTTCTTTATTTTATTTTAAAAGTTAGATTTTAGGAATCAAATCTTACTTAAAAACTTATACCCAATTTAACAAGCATGTGAGAATAAAACGTTTATGCCATTACCAGGTTACATAATTGAGTAACAGTTCTCATGCAAGTGACTTACCGGTTCTTTTCTAATTCATTGTGTGTAGATCTGTAAGACAGAAATTTAGCAGTTACTCTGAAAGCTTTTTTAAAACATCTGTCAGAATCATTGAGAAATAAACTTATCATACGTGAACTTAAGTACGTTATGCTTCTTTTCTGATCTTCCAAAAACCTTCCTTCCTCTTTCAAAGATGTTGACTCATATGCGCTACTTGCCCTTATTTTATTCAAGTGGTCATTCTTAAAACTAAAGAATGAGTGTCAGTTTGCTATTCAATCATGCGAGATGTCACAGCCAAGCTTCAAGTAGTCCTCATCTAACATCCACACATACAGAATTCCCAGCAAGAACCAAGGGACCATAATCACAAGCAGAAATATCGGTTAACTTTTGTTCTGTGACTAAACCAAAGACACCATGGCCACCAAGTGGACTGCCAGAACAGGGATCAACAAACTCATCACAGCCCAATAACTGAGTTTACGATCTATCTATTCCAAATTTATGAAAAACGAGGACAACTGAGATGTACAGGGTTAGGGTTAGGAACGCCCTCAACCGTGTCTTCCACATCTCCCGCACCTCATCCCTCACACCCCGTCCACGCAATAAAAACCAAAAAAGAATCCCCCTCGTCCTCACGTACCACCCCACCAACCTCCGGATCCAACGCATCATCCTCAGACACTTCCGCCATCTGCAATCCGACCCCACCACCAAAGACATCTTTCCCTCCCCACCCTTATCTGCTTTCCGGAGGGACCACTCTCTCCGTGACTCCCTTGTCCGCTCCACACACCCCTCCAGCTCCACCACACCCGGCACTTTTCCCTGCAACCGCAGGAAGTGCTACACCTGCCCCCATACCTCCTCCCTCACCCCCATCCCAGGCCCCAAGAAGACATTCCACATCAAGCAGATGTTCACCTGCACATCTGCCAATGTGGTATACTGCATCCGCTGTACCCGGTGTGGCTTCCCCTACATCGGGGAAACCAAGCGGAGACTCGGGGACCGCTTTGCAGAACACCTACGCTCGGTTCGCAACAAACAACTGCACCTCCCAGTCGCGAACCATTTCAAC